TAATGCTAGTAAGAACAACGGAGTATTAGGGCCAGGCTAGAGATATCTTTTTTTCTATTTCGAGAATAAAGTCATGACATTACGAAAATAAAGTCGGAAATTTACGAGAATAAAGTCGCAACGAGAATAGTCTTAAAATTACGAGAATAAAGTCGTAAAATTACGAGAATAAAGTCATAAAATCACGGGAATAAAGCCGTAAAATTACGAGAATAAAGTCGTAAAATTACGAGAATAAAGTCGCAACTAGAATAGTCGTAAAATTACGAGAATAAAGTCGTAAAATTACGAGAATAAAGTCGTAAAATCACGAGAATAAAGCCGTAAAGTCACGGGAATAAAGTCACTGGAATAAAGCCGTAACATCACGGGAATAAATTCGTTATATTACGACAAAAAAGTCACAATGAGAAAGTCATAAAATTATAAACCATCATATGATATTATATTATCATATTATAAATCTGTATTTATGAACCTCTGAGTAACTCCATTCTAATCACATTTAAACTTGACAAATTTAGAACAAGAAATAAATTCAGACTGACTTTATTAGTTTTACTTCGTTTTCATCAACACACCTCACTTTTTTTTGGTGAACTCAAACATATAACGAAAACTTACTTTACGGTTTATTAAAACTTGTTTAATTTTTCATATGCATATTCTCAAAGCAAACAGATCCCAGAGCCATTTTATTTTACTAGCTAATAAATCAAATATTTTCATGTACAGCTTGCAATGCACTCACAGACCACTAGGGGTACTTGTACCCCCGGTTTGGAATCACTGGTGTAGAGGAGAGTTTTTCAGCCTCACTTCAGAATCTGATGAAATAAATATTTCTTCATCTAAACCACCAGAATATAAAATATGTCTTTATTTTAGGTTTCCACAGAGACCAAGCAGGCGTCCAGACGGAAGAGAAAGTCGTTCAGGAGAAAGTCGTGACCATGGTGGTGGAAGCCCCTGACGGATCTGCCCCTAAGGTCCCAGCGGACCCCTGTGTCCCTGCCCTCGCCACGCCACCGAAGCCTGCCGCCTCCCAGCAGGGCGCCGCTCAGAGCACGGCCAGCGAGGGCAAGAAGAAGCCCGAGCCCCCCGCTGAGTTGATGGAAGTGCCCAAGGCTCTGCCGGTGGAGCGGTCGGATCAGAGGCGGATGCTGGTGGAGATGTGCATCCGTGCTCTGTTCCTCTGCCTTAGCCGCTTCCCTCAGCACTACAAGAGCCTCTACCGGCTGGCCTACTTCTACAGCAACAGCAAGACGCATCAGGTGGGTTTACCTCTACGCTGTAAGTCTCCCTGCAATGAGGATGAGCAAATAAGATGTTACAGGTTTCATAGTTAAGCCCAATAGGATCAGCCATTTTCCAATGTTTTATCAGGGCAAAAAAAATAACACAATGTATGCCTGGCTTTAGGGTTAGAATATTGCTGATAATGGTTAGGGTTAAGGTTAGGCTTAAATGCAGTGACTAAAATGAATGTAAGTCAAAGTACAGTCTAAATAGTACAAAGTTTTGTGTGTGTACTTATTTTTACAATGGTGTGGGAACCGGATGCTACCTGTATCTGATCTTTTCATTGCAGTCTGAAAAACACAGATCTGATTTTTTCCAGTGCGACCCAGGCCTCTTGTAACCTGACTCCGCCAGATGGATTTGCGCCGCATATCCATCTGGAAACCTTCAGTTGAAGTAATTTTGGGAAGGGGCGAAA